GCACCTAGTCTGGAGTTCATTGTATGCATCATGATTTCCAGAGTAGGATCGTGGACGTGGAACATTCACAGACGTTTCGCCGGCATCGACAGTGCGTATCGCCATTCGTAGCACCATATTACAACTCGTCAAAGAGACAAGTGAAGCCCATTCTTTGACCAAACGTGTGCTAAATATTTGTGGGATCTCCCCTTCTGCCATGGAATATTCAAATTTCCTATATCCTCTTGCATGCCTTCCCTGTCACAATTTTTACCGTGCTTATTTTTAATCTAGTGTGGTGTGCTCCTTCGAGCGACATTCATGAAAACCCTTCACACTGCACGCTGTCGTTATCACCCCCTTCACCCTTGTGCTTAGAATGTTGACCAGTCTGTCATATTGTTAAGTAGCCCATCCCTGGGTCCTATTAAAGTCTCCCTCTTACCCCGTCGAATCAGTCTGCTATCTACCTGGTACATGTAGTTCACTCGACCCATGCCACCCCATCTGTTCTACTTGAGGCGTAATTCGTCCATCCCCTGCACCTGGGTGATTAATTAGAGGCTAAAGCCTTGGAGTAAGTCTCATGATCATGCCTTTGCTATAAAGACCACGTCTCTTGTAAAACCTACTGTCAGCCAACTAGCTCCAATCGCCGCCTCGTCTATCCTGTCTCTATTTATAATTCCATGTATATGACTTGTCGTGCCCTAGTTGCTTGTGTGCCAACCCACAAATGTTGTGGTACTTCTGGCTTTGTTTAGGTTCAATGTTAAACCACGTTTTTGGGTTGGAACACAAGAGACTAGGGCATAGCAACTCATAGACTTGGTATCATAGATAGAAAGAGGATAAAAACAGTGGTAGCTAAATCTAGTTGGCTAACAATAGTCGTGATTCAAGGATCACGTTTAAGATCAAACACATCTATTGTTAGCCAAATAGCCTTAGTCTTTCCTTTTTCTATCTATAATACCAAGTCCATCGCTTCCTACGTCCTAGTCTCGTGTGTGCCAACCCACAAATGTCGTGGTTCTACTTGTTTTGATTAGGCTCACTGAAGACATATCCTCTTTGCTTCTGATTGTTCCTTTCTGGTCCTCCTGCGATTTCTTTTCCTAAAATTAAGGATGTTATCTTGCTCCAGTCGTCTTCTTTTTGCTTATCTTCCTGTTGCCTGGTCTTCTCCTAGTTTGTTTAGGCAATATGCAAAGTTTCCTGCCTTCTTCAAATCTCCTGTTCATTAGATTTCTCTCAGTCAGTATATCTATGGCCTCTTGGATCTAGCGTTTTCTAGTATTTTCACCATATCCAGCCAACCTATCAGTCGATTTCATGCCCCGTCCGTGCAATGTGTTCCGCTATTTCTGATCTTTGTGTATCCATTTTTCTGCAGAGTCTTTGATGTTCCTTGATTCGTAGGCCGATTTTTCTTCCTGTTTCACAGTTCCGCATTTGATGCAATAAACTCCCGAGCATTCAAAATTGTCAGTCTTCTCGTGTTGCGCCGGCAGACTGGTGAAAAGTGTTTTCTTCTCCTTTGTTATCACACTGATGTTCCATTTCCTTAGTAACGGATACTCCAGAGCATTTAAAGGAAAAAATGTGGAGAGTATAAAGGGCCGATTTCAACTTGGATTTTATAAAAATCAGATCAGGAATTAGGATTACAACCAAAAGTGGATTTGCCTTCCATCATCACAACTGAGCCAACAATTGCGACCGTTACTGAGGAAATGGAAAATCAGGGTGATAACAAAGAAAAAGAAAACACTTTTCACCAGTCTGCCGACGCAGCACGAGAAGACTGACAAACTTGAATGCTTTGGAGTTTATCGCATCAAATGCGGCAACTGTCAGCAGAAGTATATCGGTGAAACAGGACGAAAATTCGGCAAATAACATCAGACTCTGCAGGAACATGGATACACAAAGATCAGGAATAGCGGAACACATTGCACGGACGGGGCATGAAATCGACTGATGGGTTGGCTGGATATGGTGAAAATACGAGAAAACGCAAGATCCAAGAGGCCATTAATATACTGACTGAGAGAAATCTAATGAACAGAAGACTTGAAGAAGGCAGGGAACTTTGCATATTGCCGTCGTCTTCTGGTTGAACCGACCTTCGAATCTCTTTACCCAACACTTTCACTCGAAATGGAAGTAAGCTCAACAATAATGAAACAAGAGATTTCTCGAAACCCAACTTTTCTTCGCATAAAACAAGTAGAGCCACAACATTTGGGCACACAATATTGGTCTTCATACTTTCGACAAAATAAATAGTTATGGCAAGAAACCATATTACAATATTATGCCAAAGTAGAGCTGAAAAATATGAAGAAAAGTGACTGATAGGACGAGTAAGTTTATCTTAGGTATAGCACAAATCAGCTACATGCGCTTCAAGAAAGAAATAAATAAATAAATACAAAATAAAGCCAATAACTACTCACCTTCGATGTAATGACTTAGGAGCATATATATCTTCATTATACTGTGCGAATGACTGACTATACGCCTGAATGT